CCTCCAGTAGAGTTGTCTCAGGAAATTCAAGTCACACTTTTCAGAAGGCGCCCATGCGCGCCTCCAGGAGGGGAGACATCCACGGGCCTCTAAGACGAGTCCCATTGTCTTCATGCCTCCGATTTCAATCGATGCGGTTGCCACCCAGGCAGCCCAGGCGCTCGAGTCGCAGTAAGCGAAGTCGAACCCCTTCCGAAGCCGTGCGATGGTCCTCCTCCTCCTCCTCCTCCTCCTCCTCCTCCTCCTCCTCGTCCTCGTCCTCCTCCTCCTCCTCCTCCTCGATGGCATGCTGCCGAAAAAATCAGACGATTGCGCGGGGCTCGACCCTCGCGCTCCACGGTCTGCTCCCGATGTCCCGTATGCTCCCATCAAAGACCCCTGTTCGAAACTCCCCCCGGCCCGATTCCGACTTCCTGGTGCCGCGGCGTCGCCAGCTCGCAAGGTAAGGCGATGACGACCAAGACGAAGCAAAAGAAGGAGACCGCGACGACAACGCAAACGTTCGCCACGAGGCCCGTGTTGATGAGGGCGATGCCGACAAGCACGGAGGGGCCTGGCGAAGAAGTCGGCTCAGCCGGCTGTAAGGACCGCGGGCTCCGCTGCGAAGCGAGGGGGCCACAGCGAGGAAACCGCGGGGCTATGCTGGGGCCTCCTCCTCCTCCTCCTCGTCCTTGTCCTCGTCCTCGTCTTCATCCTCGTCCTTATCCTCCTCCTCCTCCTCCTCCTCCTCCTCCTCCTCGTCCTCCTCCTCCTCCTCCTCCTCCGCCTCCTCCTCCTCATCCTCCTCCATTCCTTGTCCTTATAAATAACTTCTCCCTGTCGCACCCCGAGGCCAGTTTTTAGGGCGGGACGGGCGTTCCGCCTGAGACTACCTCATCATGTATGTCTCTGGAACTTAAAAAGTGGCAAAAGTTTCACACATGGAGAGCGGGTGGTCTTCAAGATGTGGCTCTCGCATGAGCGCCGCGCACAGTCGTTTTCAACAATTGCAAGAATTTCACTGATTGAGGGCGGGTCGTTTTCAAAATGCGGCTCTCGCCTTAGCGCCGCGCACATTCGTTTTGAAAATTACAAGAGCTTTACGGATTGAGGACGGGTGGTTTTCAAAACGTCGCTCTCGCCCTAGCGCCGCGCACATTCGTTTTGAATATTTGCAAGAGCTGCACGGATTGAGGGCGGGTCGTTTTCAGAATGTGGCTCTCGCCTTAGCGCCGCGCACATTCGTTTTGATAATTCGCAAGAGTGTCACGGATTACGGGCGGGTGGTTTTCAAAATGTCGCTCTCGCCTTGGCGCCGCGCACATTCGTTTCAAACAATAGCAAGAGTTTCACGGATTGGGGGCGGCTCTTTTTCAACATGTGTTTTTTTGCCTTTGCGCCGCGCACAATCGTTCATGGAATTTGAAGGAGTTTCACGGATTCCCATGATCAACGTACCAGAAATGGTTTTGTTGGAAGGATTCAGAATTAAACAGGTGCAACACTTATGCTGATTCGCTGTGTTGACGTCCTGAAAATGACGTTCCGGCACGATTGCGGATCGCCAAGACGCAGCAGCCAGGGTGATCCGTGGCGTTGAAATCCCGAGAACAATGTTTTGGAATGCTTCAGGGTATTCAAACAGTTGTATTCCAACGAGGCAGTTCCCTCAATGCAAATGAACCGTTGTAGGGGCTTATGAAGAGGGAACTTCGAGGGAGGGTGAATTCCAACATCGTTGATGACTCTTGAGTTTACTCTGGTCCTCCTCCTCCTCCTCCTCCTCCTTCTCCTCCTCCTCCTCCTCCTCCTCCTCCTCCTCCTCCTCCTCCGGGAGCCGACGTGTGGCGGTGTCGGGGCCTTCTCTTGGGCTTCTTGGGCTCTGCTGACGCGTACCTGGGCCTCCCCAGCCATCTCTGGCGGGCTGTTGGAGCCGTCAGTGGCTTCGGTTTGAGGCCGCGCCGCCGTCGCGTCCCGTGCCTACCGAGGGGCTGCGGAGAGCCCGTCGTCTGGACCCTCTTCGGGCCCTCGCTGGGGCGTTTCCTGGGCGTCTCGGGGCCTCTTGAGCCACTGTGGGCCTCTCTTGGGCCGCCCTGTGCACAGCTTGGGCCGTACGAGGGGTCATATTGGAGGTCTTGGGCTGTCTGGGAGTCCGTTTGGGGATCTATTGGGCAGATCTTGGGACCGTTGTGGGGCCTTCTTGGGCGCCTCGTGGGGCCCCTGGGAGGTCTATTGGGCCGTCTTGGGGCCGTCTTGGGGCCCTCTTGGGGCCCTCTGTTGGGACCTCTTGGGTTGTCTTGGGGCGATATGTGAGGTCCCTGGGGACGTCTGGGGTCGTTCTTGGCCCGAAATGGAAGGAACGTGAAAATCTGCACAACCAGCAAAAAAATAGAATGGTAATAATATTGAAAGTCTACCATTTTGGTCTCATTGGGGCGTCGTCTGGCCAAGCTCCTGGTTTGTTATCGCGCCCTCTTGGCCCGTCATGGGCTTCCTTTGGGTCCTTTTGGGCCGTCGCGGCGCTCTGAGCCGTTTCTGATCCGTTTGGGGCCGTCTTGGAGCCATATGGGGACCCTCTGGAGCCGTCGTGGAGCGCCCCAGGAGCTGTCAGGGCGCCCTGGGGGGGCCCCAGGCTGCCAAATGACGACAGACACTTCCCGTACAAGCGCGCGCGCGCGCCTACAGTGTAGACAACATGACGCCAACCTTCATCTTCTCCTCCAGCATTTCACTGAGCAGCGCCAAAGCTTGCTGCCACTGCTCGCCCTTCTCGCACGCGCTGATCCCAGCGCTGTAGCTGACTATGGCTAACCCGTGGCCTACCGGCGACGAAATCTGTCAGAGATTCCACGTTGGACCAGGGCAGATGTTGCCAAAAGGCTTTCGAGATGATGAACTGCGCCTTTGCTGTTGCTGCTTGAGCTGCAGGGCGCTGCTGCCTGCGACATGTTGCTGCTGCATACTGTTGCTGTGCTGCTGTTGCCTGCTGCGGACTGCTGTTGTTCGCTGGTGCTGCTTGAGGCTGCAGAGTGTTGCTTTTTGGTACACTTGCTAGATGACCCAACCTGCAGCTCGTGAGTGGATTGAGGACCGAGGAGCAAGGATCGAGGAATCAGGGTCGAGGGGGAGATGGGGGAAGCGAGGAGTCTTGGAGTGTCGTGGGGCCTCTCTGGGCCTTCTCGGGGGCCTCTCGAGGCCAAATCTGGCCCTCTTGGAGGCCTCTTGAGGCCTCTTGAGGGCCTGAGCGCCTTTTGGGGCCGTCCGGGGGCCGTCTTGGCCGGTCTTGGACGGCTCTTGGGGCTGTCTTGGGTGCCTTCTGGGCCGTCTCGGGGCCGTCGTGGGCCGTTGTGGGTGCCTGTTGGGCCGTGTTCGGGCCGTCTTGGGCCGTCCGGGGCCGTCTTGGGGGCTGTCTGGGGTGCCTCTTGGGCCGTCTTGGGCGGCTCTTGGGCCGTCCTCGGCCCGTCTTGGGGCCTTGATGGGGGCACCTTAGGACGATCGTGGGGGGCTCTGTTGCCGTCGTGGACGCGCTGGAAACGAAAAGCACGAGCATGCCAAAAATACAAATGGTTTCCGAAGGTAGTGGGACGATGTGTGCGTCTCGGGGCTGTCCTGGGGAATCCTCGAGGGCTGTCTCCGGAAGCTCCTGGCCTGCCGGGGGGGGCCCTTGGGGTCGCTGGAGCGGCCTCCTGAGCGGCTCGGAGCGCCCCTGGGGCCGTCGGCGTGGCCTCTGGAGCGGCTCGTGGGGGGCGCCCTCTTGAGTGGTTCGGGGCCGTCTGTGGGCCGTCGGAGCGGCCTCTGGAGCGTCGTGGGGCCGGGTGCCCTCTGCAGCGGTTCGGAGAGCCGCAGGGCGCCGCTCTGTCAAGAGACCCGTGTTGCACGCACGGTTCCTGGTATCGTGGGAGAGATGACGTCGCGCTCCAGCGTCGCCTCCAGCATCTCGCTCAGTAGTGCCAAAGCCCGCTGCCACTGCTCCCCCTTTTCGCACGCGCTGATCCCAGCGTTGCAGCTGATGACGTTAGGCTCCAGCTTCGCCCCCCACATACCGTTGAGCAACGCCAAAGCCCACTGCCACTGCTCGCATTTCTCGCACGCGCTCATCCCAGCGTTGTAGCTGACTAGTGTACCCGTGGGGCAAATCCGCAGGTACCCTGGCAGGGGAACGCGGCGGGGACATCTCTGCGCCATCTTGGGTCGTCCTTGGGCGCCTCCTGGGGCTGTCCCTGAGCTGTCTTGCAGCTCTCTTGGGCAGTCTTGCATCCTTGCGGGAGGTTCTGGGAGCACCCAGAACCTGGAAAATTGGCCCAAGGGAGGCTCGAGAGAGACCGAAGACGGCCCTAAGAGGGCCCTCAGAAAGCACCCGACGGATGCTACAACAGGGGGCTGCGCTGTAGCATCCGTAGGGGGGCCTCTTCGGGCTCTCTGGGAGCACCCTTGGGGCCGTCTTGGGATGCACCTGGGATGCTAGTGGGCCATCTCTAGGCCATCGTGGGTCGTCTTGGGCGCCTCTTGTGCCGTCTTTGGGATCTCTTGAGCTGTCTTGGGCCGCCATGGGGCCCCTCAAGCCGCCTCTAGATTCTCTTGGGGGGCGTCTTGGGCCAGCTTGAGGCGATCTTGAGGGTTGTTGGGCCGTCGTGGACGCGGCGAGGGCCCAAAAGTCGCACATGCAAAAAATGTGTTGTGATAACCTGCAGTAAACCTTCGATGTTTGCATCAGGAGGCCATACTCTTGGGGCATTTCGAAACGTTGTTCGGCCGTCTGGAGGCTGGTTTGGGCTATCTTGGGGCCCCCGTCTAAACGCCATCTAAAGCAATCTTGAGACCATCCTCCGCCGTATTGGAGGCATCTTCGGCGAACTTGGAGCCCTCTTGGACTCGCTCGGGCCGACTGGGAGGCGCAGGCCCTCCCGGCGGCCCCCCTTGCCTTGCAACGAGTGGCCAGTGACACGCGCTGCCCCCGGTATTGTAGGATAGATGACGTCGCGCTCCACCTTCGCCTCAAGCATTTGACTGAGTAGCGCCAGAGCCCGCTGCCACTGCTCGCCCTTCTCGCACGCGCTGACTCCAGCATTGTAACTGATTGGGGCTAACCCGTGGACTACCGTCCACAAATGCCAGTGGTCAGAGTGCCCCTGGTGCTGTATCAGCGGTAGCAGATCCATGGGAACGGGCAGTAGCAACAGCAGCAGCTCCACCACCTCTTCCACCTGCTCCTCCTCCTCAGCATCCTCCTCCTCCTCCTCCGCCTCCGCCTCCGCCTCCGCCTCCTCCTCCTCCTTCTCCTCCTCCTCCTCCTCCTCCCCCTCCTCCTCCTATCCTTCTTCCTTATTGGAATATACTCCCACTCTGCCCCCTCCCCAGCCGATTGCGGGCCAATCTGGGGGGGGGGGCATCCTCTAACCCGGGAAAACATACAAAATCAACGCTTGTCCTCTCAAAATGGACGGCGCCTTGCACATTTTCTGACAGTGGCACTCCCACCAAGGCGCGGCGCACATGTTTCGCTCGCCAATTCGTCGGGCGCCAGGGGCCTCGTGGGGCTTCTAGGGGCTTCCTGAAGCATCCTGCAGCATCCTGTGGTTTCCTGGGGCCTCCTGTGGCCTCATGGGGCTTCCTGGGGCTTCCGGAAGCCTCTTGAAGCATATTGGGGGTTCCTGGGGCCACCTGACGCTTCTTTGGGCCTCTTGGAACTGCCTCCTGGGGCCTCCTTGGGCCTCCTGTGGCCCGCCTCTCCACTACTACCACCAGTACTACCACTACTACTACCACTACGACTACGACTACAAATGCGACGACGACTACAACGACTACTACGACTACTACAACTACTACGACTACTACGACTACTGCTACGACTACGACTACGACTACGACTACGACTACTACTACTACTACTACTACTACTACTACTACTACTACTACTACTACTACTACTACTACTACTACTACTACTACTACTACTACTACTACTACTACTACTACTACTACTACTACTACTACTACTACTACTACTACTACTACTACTACTACTACTACTACTACGACTACTACTACTACTACTACTACTACTACTACTACTACTACTACTACTACTACTACTACTACGACTACTACGACTATTACGACTACTAC